GTGTGGCTGTGCAGCTGCATAATGAGCCCTGCCCAAAGGCTTAGGTTTGCCATGCAGAGAGCTTCCTGTCTGGGGAGGGGCACTCCCTCAGCAGCAGAAACTCCCTGCTCCATACAATAATCAGAGATCTGATTACAGCAGCTGGTTTGCCTGCAGCTTCCTGTGAGGAAACCCACTACTCTCTTCTTGCTTCCTGGGCTCAGAGAAGGGGAGCAGAATGCATGAGGTAGGTGGGGGAAAGAGAGAGAGGGGGATGGGTGGGCACATGCTGCTGTGGGTGAGGGGAGGTGGAGACTGAGTTTGTGGTATATTTTCCTGTCCTCTGACTCCCAGCAAGTCTGCAGCTGCAAAGCCTGCAACTCTGAGGCAGGATTCTGAAGGGATTGCATGGGGGTAGGTGGGTGCTGGTGTCTGTGAAGTGAGGTAGGGACCTAGGGGAGTTTGTTTGGGGTGTCTTAATTTACTTCCATATGAGCTGCAGGCAGCAATTGTCAAACCCTGTTTGTCTCAGCACAGCAGCTCTATGTAGGCTGCAGACATAGGACTCTCTCCTGGGCTGGTGCAGGCTGTATGGAGGGAGGAGGTATCACCATTTCAGGTGGGTTAAAAGCTTTTAGGCTGCTTTTGAATACTGGAGCAAAAGGACTAGCTCTTGATATGTGTATAATTACATTTCAAACAATGTTTATATAGGTGTTAATGACTTAAGGTAAAAAAGATTATTTTAACACTTTTTTAAGTGTTGTAGATAATGGCAAACTCTGATCTTAATGATTTTTTAAAATCCTATATTACTAGTTAATAAATACATATTCAATTATTAAAACTTGAAGAACTTTACTATGGATCCTGTTTAATTTGTTTGGCCTTTCAATTGGAGTTGGATTCTGGACAAGTGTTCTGGGGCTTCTACTTTTTGAATTAGTGATAAGTATAAGGTGGAAGTTTCAAACCAGAACTTTTATCTGTTTTTACAGGTCTCTGTTTTACTTGCATAGCATGGATCCTAAACATTCCCCAGAGAAAGTATATAAGCTTGAGTAAATGCCTTTTACTCTCCTTTCTAGTGTCAGTAAATATTGTATTAATATTTGCAAGGCAAACATGACTATTTCTAGTTGACTCAGATTTAACATCTTAAAGTTTTGCATATTTGTATGCTTTTACTTAAAAACGTAAGAACGACCATACTGGGTCAGACCAATGGTCTATCCAGCCCAGTATTCTGTCTGCCAACAGTGGACAACACCAGATGCCCCAGAGGGAGGGAACATAACAGGTAATCCTCACGTGATCCCTCCCTTGTCACCCACTTCCATAGAAACAGAGGCTAGGGATACCATTCCTACCCATCCTGGCTAATAAATTAATGGAGGTTAAGTCTATCAATGGCAATCTAGCTCTTTTTTGAACCCTGTTAAAGTCTTAATTTTCACTGTATCCTCTGGCAAGGAGTTCCACAGGTTTTCTTCACTCAGCGCACAGTCAAACTTTCTTTTCTTTGTTTTAAACCTGCTGCTGCTTAATATCATTTGGTGACCCCTAGTTCTTGTTTTGTGGGAATAAAAAATAACTTTTCCTTATTCACTTTTTCCACATCAGTCATGATTTTATAGATCTCTATCATATCCCCCCCTTAGTGTCCTCTTCTCTAAGCTGAAAAGTCCAAGACTTTTTAATCTCTTTTCATATTGGACCTGTTCCAAACCCCTAATAATTTCTGTTGCCCTTTTCTGAAAATTTTCCAATGCCAATACTTAGTGACCAAATCTTTGATTTATTTATATAGCTATTTGCAGTATGCCCCATTTTAGGGTGTTTACTAGCTTGAGTTGTTAGAAAGGACGATAATCTATGTACTCCAAGGGTAGTGTTAATTTTCTCCTCAAGTTCATATTAAATACCTTAAGCATTGCTCCTTGTTAATTATCCCTTGTTTCAATATATTGTTTTCCATACCTATGGACTGTTTAAATATACTTAAAAAAGGTTTGTCCTGTAGGATGATAGAGTGGCCTCATGCATCACTCTGCGTCCCGCAGCCCGTCCCTCTATCCTCAGTGGTGTGGCCTCCCCCTTCCCTGTGCTCCGTGGGAGCCAGAAGCCATGCAGCCTCCTCCATGCTCCGACCTGCCCTACCGAGGCCTATGGTGGCAAGAGCTGTGAGCTGCATGACTCCTGGGTGTGTGGCTTCCCCCCTCCTCTGCCCTTTGTCCCCCCACCCCAACCTCTATCAGCTCTGTACCACGTGGGCCAGTGGTTAACTTCTCCCCCACATACTGGCAATGAGTGTGTCCCTCCGGCACATGAGTGGGCAGCTGCCAGAATTTTAATTCAATCAAGAGGTTCTTTGGTTGTCTAGGATGGGTGAGGAGAGGTGAGCAGGAGTTGTTAGGGCTTGGGTGTGGGGAGAGGGCGCGTGGGAGCTGCAGGGGCTCAGGTGGGGAGAGGGGGACATGCATGCAGAGGCTCAGAGGCGGGGAAGGAGGGTGGCCACGCAGCGGTAGGGGGCATGTAGGACATGTACAGCATGGCCAGGGGGAGAGGGTGCATGGGATCCATGGGGTGTCCTTTCACAGCCAGAGCCATGTGGCCTCCCCCCTTGGGGCCAGAGGGAGAGGGCTGGGTCAGCTGTGGCCTCAGCCCACTCCAAGCCCCTGGTGGCCAGAGGGGAGAGAGCCAGGTCAGCCTCAGTCCTGCTCAGCCCTTTCCCAGCAGCTGGAGGAGGGCTGGCCAGGGCTGCTACGCCTTGACCTGGCCCTCCCCGGAGGCTGGGGGAAGAGCTGCGACCACCTATCCCCAGAAAGGGGAGTTGGTGAATGTAGCAGGCAGGGGGTACCACCCCTTGGATATTTATACATAGGTTTTTTGTACTAGGACTCACTGAACATTCACATATAACTGCAGTATTGGTGGTGCACGTGAGAAATTTCAACCTGTCCAATCTGAAATTTCACAGTATTGTAATTGTAAGGATCCCAATACAAATAGGAGTTAAGGGAGGGGATGCTGTTACTCTTCTGTGCTGCTGCTGGTGGCAGCGCTGCCTTCAGAGCTGGATAGCTGTGGCTGCTTGCAAGGATCTCAGCTCTGATGGCAAAGAATGAGTGTCATCCTTGCTTTCCCCAATGTATATTCCTTATCACCGTCTGTCTCGAGAAAAGGAGGAAAGGTGTACATCAGATTCTTCTCCCATTAAAGCAAGAAAACATCCATATAGACTGTTGATGCTTGCTCCAGAATGTAAATATCTGAAAAATATGGTCTGATCCTTTAGGGACCCTTGAGTATGTTCTTCCTGCTTGACTTCCAGTGTAGCATCACTAAGGCTTGGTGACCAATAACTGAACATCGTTCCAACCTGGAGTGTAGACCTGGGAGTTCCATTGATGCACCAGTCTCATGGCTAGTTGGGCAGTCACATGGGTAGTACCCTGTGAGATTCAAGAAATAACTCTTACCCTTTTGTAGGGCAACTTTGTGTTTTTAACAGACATTGCTCACTTTGAGAAATCTCTTCTCTGGGAGAAAAGCTCTCCCTTGTGTTGAGTTCAATATAGCACCTATAAAAATAATCCTTTTATGTAGGACAGAGAATTGACTTTGGAAGGTTGAGGAAAAAAGCCTAGGTCTGAGAAAAGCTTAATCAGGGCGACCATGTGGCTCAATGAGTCTTCGTATACAGTAGCGCCTAACAACCAGTAATCCCAATAAATATATTCCTTAGATACACCACTACCACACACAGGCATTGTGAAAATACACTGGATGCTGTGGAAAGGCCAAAGGAGAACTCCTAGCAGTAGAAATAATGCCCAGCCACCATGAATGTAAGGTACTTTTGATGACTTTGGCAAATTGAGATATGGAAATACTCATCCTTTAGACTGTCATGAACCAATTCAGGACCTGGGATTAGAGAGGCCACAGTCAGCATTCACAACTCCAGCTTCAAGTGCCCAGAGGGGTTCACGTTCGATCTAGGCATGCAATTGCAAGGAACAGGGTGGGGAGGAGGTGCTCTATCCACAATGTAGGCTCAGTCTAAGTGTGTCAGGAACATAAAAGGAAGGGGCAAGACGTGAGGACACAGTAGCTGACATTGCTAGAAGAGGGATCGGCCACAAGGTGCTGCAGTATCCCAAAAGTGGTAATATGCAGAGCTACTCGAAGAAATTAAGCTTAGTCAAACACAACATTTCTGCTATTAGGAACAAGTAGATGTTCGTTAGTGAAACACAGGAAGGACCTTAAGCTGAAATAGTGGTCTCTGAAACATTAAGAAGAATTAATGGTGAATCAGGAGCTGACGGGCAGTCCAGTGGTTAGGCTATTAACCTGTGACTGGGGAGACCAGCATTCAGTTCTCTGCTCTGCCAAACTTTGTGTGGCCTTGTGCAAATCACAGAGTATTTCTGCTACAATTCCATAGCTGTAAAATGGGGATAATCATTCAGAGGGATGATATAAGATATGAAATACTATGATAAGGGAGGGGAGGAATAAGCATTTGCATAGACTGGCAATTAGAGTGATTTGAGATGAAGACTTATGTTATATTGAGGTTAATTTCACGCTAACGCAAGCATTAGGACCACTCAAATGTAACATGCAACCATTAGCAACAAAATATGAACAGAAGACCATCTTTCATCAAAAAATGGGAAGGGGGGGATAGGTATATCAGAATGTTTCCAGTCCCCAAAAGGAGTAGGCAGCAAACTTTGTGGGGGGGGAGTAGGGGCAGCCGTGAAGACTTTGGTATCCATGGACCTAAATAGGCCAAGTAAGCCCCCTCCATGATTGAGGGGAAACTAATGTCACATTAGAGACATTATCACATAGCATTTCCTAATCACTGCAGAAAGTTCACTTTATATACCTCCAATTCATCTGATGTAGTGGGCTTTTCACAAAAAAGCTTATACCCTAATAAATCTGTTGGTCTCTACGGTGCCACAGGACTCCTTGTTGTGCTAAATTCATGTGATATCAAAAGATCAGTTGTCTAGTGGTGCTGAATTTAACATGGTTTATTCACTAAGTTCAGTTTATTTGAACAGATGTACATTTTATACATAAGTACATTTATTTAGTAAGACAATCACAGCATTTTCCAGAAGAGTACAGAAAATAGAGGTGAGAGAGGAACTTTTTGTGTTCTGAATATGGCTTTCATAATCCTGTCATACTTCTCCTCAGATGCTCTTAACTTCTGCCATGGTCAAAAAACTACTCGGGCAAGTTCAAACATGACCTGCAGAGTAATAAATACAAGCATTAATAAGGATTTGCAAAGTGTAGGTTCTCTTCAATACTACAAAAAAGGTATCGGATAAACAAAATAATCTGAAAAGATGGACAATAGCTGCAAACAAACAAAAAGGCTCAGTGATGCATGAAATAACAAATTCCCCTCCCTCTCAGGCTATGAAAGCATAAACATATTTCAAATCATGCCATGTAAAATATATAGCTGCTTATGTAACCTACAACGTGGATGACTCCTGCATCATAATATTTTAATTATTTAATTTTCTTCTGCAGAGAAATGATTAAAAATGTGGCAAATGAACATCAAACTAACCTCTATAGTGATGAGTATGACTATCATCCATTCCAATCGCAGGGCATGTTTTTCATTCAAGTGATTTCGCATCAGATCTGTCAGCTCCATGCAGTGCTGAAGTTTCTCATTCATTACCTACAGTAGAAATGTATGCTTTCAGTCGAAGAGTATGCATTTGCAAGAAACTCAAGTTAAACAAATTCTATAAAATCATTAAGGAAAGCTAAGCAAACCCAGAAGTTATCTAGTAAAACATGACTGTTAAAACTCTTTGATTCCCAGATTAGTAAAAGATTTTTCTCTGTGCAAAAGTCTATAGCACAGCCCCTCGTGGTACCATATACAAATACAGCAGCAAGGCTTTTAATGAAAACTTTGATGCTAGTGTGTCAATTCATCAAAAGGATGAATTATGTTCAGTAAAAATAAACATTTACAAGAGCCAAGATGAACAAAGTTATTAGGTCACCTATGTAGCAGAGTGGGATAGTTACCCACAAGGCAACAACTGTGGATGCGCTCTGTCAACAAAAGGAGCACTGTGTGAACATGCACAAATGATGTAATTATACCGGTTTCTGATAGTCAGCATAACCTGTGTTGAAAAAACTCTGTAGTGTAAACAATGCCTAAGAACCCTATTCATTTTACTATAGCTCGTTTTACCAATAAATTAAGTTGTCACAGAAACCTTGTTTGGCTTAGCTAAAAAGACTGCTTCACTCCTCTAATCTTTTAATTTCTGTTTCTTTCTTTAAAACATTTTCACCTGATTTTAAAAAAAAAACCCAAAACCAGAAGAAAAAATTATTTGCTTCTTCACATACTGTTCTTTCACCTGATTTAAAAAAAAAAAACCCAAAAGCAGAAGAAAAAAATTATTTGCTTCTTCACATACTGTTTGGCATTTTAGAACAAAATAAAAGCTCTTCCCATTAAAATTATTTAACTTTGTTTAAAAGGCTCGGAAAAAAAACCTCTTTACACGTAAGCCTGAATGATGAAAGTTCAGCTTTTGTCATGGGGAAGTGCAACAGCAAAAATACAACTAAAAACTTATAGAAGACTTTCAGAACCCATGGTTTTTAAAACATCTTTTTGCAGTAAATAATACAGTATTGAACTTCTATTAATAGCTTAAAACCAAAATCACTCTCCCAATCTGCTTCACTGGACAGAGTCAAATTAATAGCAACTCATAGTCTTGCTTAGTAGAAGGTTAACCAGAATTACAAAGACTTGTAATGGGTGAGGAAGAACCTCCCAATTTAAAAAAAAATTACCTTGACTCTGCGGTTAATGCTGAGAAACTGACAAGTTTTGTCATAAAGCTCTTCAAGGTTCTCTCTGTCCCAGTAAAAGTCAGGAGTTATCAGCAGGTCTGAACTCAGATTTATACGGTGCCTAAAGAAGGATGGTTATGACAGTTCAAAGTTATTTTTTTAATTAAAGGTTCAAATATACTGCTATTTCAAATCAATGATTAAAAGTTTATTCAGTTCTATCAATTTCTATTTTTTATTTTAAAAACAAATGTAACTATAGGAAGTGTTTCCCCTTTTCACTATAGAAAATACAAATCTGGGGCTAGCAAACTAATTTGAAATTGTAAGAACTGCTTAAATGGATTGTTCTCAGAATATTGAAAGTTGCTGGACCCTCATGAATGAGTAACTTTTTGCTATACAGAAATATGAATATAGACAGATGGTTTTGAAATAAACTTATTGTGACAGAATGTTTGGGCCGGAGGTGCTGAGCACATACAACAATAAACTTGAGGGTGCAGCATCTTCTCCAGCCAGGCCATTTGTCACAATAGTATAAAAGTTACTTTCTTGTGTCTACCTTCCCAGTATTCAATATATGTTTTGTGCTAGAAATGGGCATCAGGATCACTAACAATAGTTTTCTCTAGTCCACTGGCAGTAAGCTCCTCTAGGTGTGAATATCAAACCCAAAACCTTAACAGATAGTGTTCATATGTAGCTGTCTGTCTTCGTATTTTTTCTTCTTCTACCTGTTATCGTACGTAAGTTATATGGGACATATATAGTAATGTGTATCACAGACAGACTTACATGATTTGTGAGTTGGACACAACAAAAGAATCATTTTTATGACAGTAAAACTCTTACTGATCCACAATGAGCTTTGCATCAACACATCTTTCCTCTAGACACTCTTCCAAATTCTCAACAGTGCTTCTCATTATCCATAGAACTCAAGATAGTCTCTAAAGAATAGTTTAAATTCTCAAGATCATGCACTTTGCAAGCACTGGGGAAACCACTGTGATTTAGTCTGACTTCCTACATAACACAGGCCATAGAACTTCTCCAACGTAATTCTTGTCTGAACTAGAGCATCTCTTTTAAGAAGTCATCAGATCTTGATTTAAAATTGCCAATGACAGAGAATCCACCACAAGCCTTGCTAAACTGTTCCAATAGCTAATTACCCTCACTGTCCCAAAAAGTACACCTTTGGGTTGTGCTATACCTTTCTCTGCTAGATTGAGGAGACCACTATCAAAGTTTGTTCTCCATATAGACACTTATAAAGTGGGTTTAAATTATCCCTTTGCCTTCTCTTCTTTAAAATAAATTGATCGGGCTCGAGTTTATCACTTAAAGGATTGCCAAGCTTCCTTATATCATAGGTCACAAAGGTTCTTTCTTACTTGCTTTGGAGTCTAAGAATCTATTAGACTTCTTTGCAATGATGGCATCTGAGCTCTTAAAAAAGAAAGTTTACCGTAAGGCAAAGAGTTCCCCAATTTTCTGCATTACATCAGCATGAGAGAGTTTCACTTTTTTTCTTGACTTTAGTATCTGCAGAGAAGTTAGTGATAAATTATTAAGCAAAGACATTCCATAACAGCTTATTTTATTTAAGCTTGGTTTAAAAAAAACCCATGAGTTCTATACCCTAAGCACTGTACTGGTTGTTCAAATTATTCCTTCTCATGTGTATTACTGCATATTTATCAACACCTAATTTCATCTGCTACTCTACTACCTATTTACCCTGCATTGTTAGGTTGCTCTGGGAATCCTTAATCTTCTGTAGTCTTGTTTACCTAAATAATTTAACCTGCTGAGTCACATCCAACTAGTCAACTTTTTTCTGGATTACTGATGGATATATCGAACACCACTCCTAACATAAGACTCTTGGAACATCCCTTGTTAAACTTTTGCCAGGCTGAAAATGGACCACTTATTCCCTTTTGTTAGAAACTGGAGAGAGACAAAACAATTCTTATCTAGTAAATATTGAGCTTTTTAATGTCTTCTTTTGAAACATTTTAAAACTGTGAATAACAGCTTTTAAAGAGACAAGCTAAGGATCCCCACCCCTTTCCCGGAATTAATTAAATTATTTATATAGAAATAATTAAAAAACCCCAAATCAACAGATATTTCACCTCAGGAATTGACTGGATAGATTCCACAAAATTATCCAAGGATGATTCCCAAATGGCCAGTTTTACTGCAACATAAAATAAACAATATAGGAGGTTTATCTCATGTGTGATCTCAGATTTCAAATAACCATAAAATACAGCGCCTATCTATCAATGTTTAAAGATTCTATTACATTGCAGTAGAATTCTTATTACCTGAATTATCTAAATAATCAGCCATGCAAATGCATATTACAGGTTGAACCTCTCTAGTTCGGCACTATCCATGGTCCGGCATAATTTTAGTTAGCAAGATGACCGCTTATGGGTGTGGCCAAATTTCCTGTGGTCCCATAGAGTTTGTTTGCAGCCACCAGTGCTGGCTGTCTTCTGTGCTGTTATTAGCTCTGGTTTACCCTAAATGGCTCTCAGAAAACTAATAAGCAATAGAAGTGTTGGTAATGCTGCTAGATAATACTGACCTCCTGTGATCTGGTAAATTCTCTGGTTCGGCACCAGTCAGCAACCCGTTCTTGCTTATTAGTTGTAAGTCTATAAATATACATTATCACTTGTAGCTGCTGAAGGCTTGTTTTAGAATCACTAATCTGAGAGTTGCATACATTGCTCTGTGAATGCAAAGGGTCACAACAATGTTTCTGAAGTGTTAGTGTTAATATTTATTTTAATGAGGTCAATTTCCTACTGTTTTTTGATGAAGTTGATGTTCATAAAAAGTGCAGAACAGCTATAACTGGATACAAAATCTTCTGTTTATCAACAGAAAATGTTCAGCATGCACGGGCAGTGGCAGTGCAGGATTCCTTACAATTCACACTATGTGCTTTACACCAAAACTGTTGCTATTTTCTAGTTCATGTAATACCAGAAAAGTATGTTTCCTCAAGCTGCTTGTTCTAAAAAATTTACATGTGACTTAAGTAGAGCTCTAATATACAAAACAAAAGTTAAACTGATAGCAATCCTACTATTGAATCTCTGGCAACTTATGTACATATCTCACTTTCACAATTGAGCGTAACCCATATAAATACATCAGATATCCACATGGAAAAGAGATATTGATCATTATATATATATGGCACTTCACAGTCTCAGGTAAAACTAGACACTACATAAAGTATTAGCTTACCAGAAAGGCAAAGAGCATTTGAAAAGGCAAATTTCTGCAGAATTACTTCTTCAATATCCAGGTCAGAATTTAACAATATTTGTCCTCTGTGGAGCTTTGACTGGCCTCTGTAAAAACAGGATTGAAGCATCTTTATTGACCGAGGCACCTCTAAAATGAATACCCAGGGTCCAGCTTTACACAAGGATTCCTCATGCATCCTCTGCTGGGTTTAAAGACAACTGCAGAAGCTATAGCAACAACTACAGGACTACTGAAAAAATTCAGAGAACTATGTCAAGTATCAGAGGGGTAGCCGTGTTAGTCTGAATCTGCAAAAGTGGCGAGGAGTCCTGTGGCATCTTATAGACTAACTGCAGTGTTGGAGCATAAGCTTTCGTGGGCAAAGACATGCATCTGATGAAGTGGGTCTTTGCCCACGAAAGCTTATGCTCCAACACTGCAGTTAGTCTAGCCACAGGACTCCTCGCCGCTTTAGCAGAACTATGGACTTCTCTTTCCCACTCATTTCTCCTCCACTCTTGTGCTTTCTCTTTCTACATCATTGTTGTTTTTCTCTTTCCTATTCTGTTGTTCTATTTCCATTGCTTTCCCTTCCTGCAGTTGTGGTATTCTCCCCTTCCCCCAGCTCTGTTCAGTGTGTCAGCAGCAAAGCAGAAGTCATGAGTCATGTTAGTTTCAAGGTGCTTTGTATAACTCTGGCTTGAGAGTCTGGAAAGCATCCAGAAATTTAAAGTACAAATGCTGGTGAAGTAGAAGCTAAAAACAATAGGATAATTCAATAGTTAAATATACCATGATTTACAACACTTTCCATTTCTGTTGGCCATAAATAGCCAGCTTATGTAACAGCATTGTACTACAAATGACTAAATGCTGTGTATTCTGTAAAATAGCAATGTTGCTCATGTCCATTCTAATTAGGTGTGGGCACACAGCGTCGGAAGTTTTTCCCTCAGCAGTACCCTTAGGGCCAGCGGGGAGCTCCTTTATATCTGCCTTCATGAGGCGAGTTTTTCCATTAGGGACTGCTGAAGAATGTTTACAATTATGCAGCCACGGAGTTTACTAGAATGCATTAGTAAGATCAGTAAATCAAAATCACAAATAATGCTTCAAAGCAATATTTTAAAGTAACATTAATACATACTCCATTCAATTGGATGGATTTAGTGTTTGTAGCCCATAGTATTTACCCCTCAAAACACTTATCTTACTCTTTTGGAAGAGCGATAGGGAAGGAATGCTTTTGGGTAAAGGATGCATAAAAATGCTTACTCTCCTCTCCTATAGTTAATTTCTTCATTCTCCCAATGAACCAGTGCAACTTCATAAGGCTGAATTTCATGTCGCTCCAGCACTTGCATTATATTCTTCATCTAGAAAGACAACTACATATTATTAAAACAGTTAGCAAATGCTAAAAAACTGACCCATATAAGTCATCAAATACTTAATATTTAAATTAAAGCAGTATGCAGGTGTTGATTTAAAAAACATTAAAAGTGTAGTGAAAATACCTTGTTGCATCAGGATAGAGTAACTATTTTAATATTATTTAATTTTTTTTATATCACACAATGTGTGATTGGGTCAGAGGATTGGTTTTGTTGTTAGAGAACATGGCACGAGGTCAGAAGACTTGGGATCTCTTCTCAGCTTTGCCACAGGCTTTTAAATGTAGCCTTGGCAAGTCATTTTACATCATTGCCTCAAATCTCCTTATTTGTGAAATGCGGATGATAATCCTTCACAAAAGTGTGATTTGTGAGGACTAACTCATTGAAAAGAGCCTTGAAATACAAGAATGGAACATGCCAGGGAAAGGAAAAGAATATTTATATAATAAAATTCCAGGATTGTTTACTCTGTGCCACTCTATTATATCTGTAGGGTCAGTAATGGACATAGCTAGAAGCATGGTTGAAGGCTCTTTTTATTCAGAATATCACCAAGTTGAGTCATCACCTGGCTTGTCTGTTACCATCACATTTTTAAATTCTCAGCCATTTTGAGTGTATGAATGACACCATGTGGAATACAAAAGTTCTGGATAGCAGTGGGCAACCTATGGCCCACTAGGGCTCCACCTGTGGCCTGTCCCTCTCCCCCATGCGCCTCGTACATTGGGGGCACCAGAGCCACACACATCCTACTCCTCCTCACTCTCCTTCCGAGCACGCAAATCACTGTGCACCCCCATGGCTTCAGCTAGAGGAGGCTGTACATGGAGCATGGGTTGTGTGCTTCCCCTCCCCCCCTATGGACTTGTCCACAGCCTGGGCTGTATGGCCTCCTTTGTCCCCATAACTATGGCAGGAGCTGGCACCATGTGCCTCTTCCTGCTCCTCTCCTCTGCAGCTTAGGCTGTGTGCTCCCCCCTCCATGGCTAATGCTGTGCATCCCCATGACAGTGGGGCTGGGGAATGTCAGTTCCTCCAATGGGGCTCTAGCTGTCATTCTACCCTCTCTTGTCCTCTCTTCCCCTTTTATTTTTAGTAAAAATCTCAGACAAATCATTGCTCACATGAATTTCTATTATTGCCCTTGACTGTCCATGACTTTTACTAAAAATAACCATGACAAAATCTTAATCTTAGTAATTACCAATCATATCCTTTTATTAAAGGAGTTTAATGCAGTGTCATGAATACTCTGCTAGATTGTCAAAGATCTCAGTCTGTGTCTACCTCCACCCCGTAGGTCCATTCTGCAGCATCAGAGAGTAAGATGGAAAGGTTGCTAATAATAGATTCCCTAATTGCATACTCCTTACACATCTAAAACCCTCAGTGGTTTCAGTGAGAGTTCTGCATTCCCTGAAGTATTCAGACTTGAGCCCAAGGGTTGAAAATAGCTTCACAAAGATGTTTATTCCCTCAGCACATGAAATTACGGCCACAGCCCTTTTCCTTCCCCCCCCCCCCACTGTCCGGGCCATCTAGACACCTATACTATATTCATTGGGAGGTACCCACATTTTAAATACACCTCTTCAAAATAAGGAGAACAGTGGAACTTTCAATGCAACATGTTAGCTTAATCAATTTCTAATAAAGCAGTTTCTAAAGACAGATACTTTAGAATCAGTTAGATCCCACTCAAGACTAATTTTCTTTGCAGTGTTAGCTCTCTTCATTTCTAGACACCTATACTATATTCATTGGGAGGTACCCACATTTTAAATACACCTCTTCAAAATAAGGAGAACAGTGGAACTTTCAATGCAACATGTTAGCTTAATCAATTTCTAATAAAGCAGTTTCTAAAGACAGATACTTTAGAATCAGTTAGATCCCACTCAAGACTAATTTTCTTTGCAGTGTTAGCTCTCTTCATTGCTTTTATAGTATTTGACAGTGTATATAATACCATAAGTAGTCACTGCCTTATGTTTATACAGAGGACTTCAATTTCTAAAATATTGTCTTACTTTGAATTCCATACTTAAGTGTCTAAGGTCTGCCAAGTGTTCCAAGAATTACTGCTAAAAAGCTAGAGAAATTCTGATTTGTAGTGCTGAGATAAAGTACCTTAATTTTTACAGCAGTCATAAAATCTAAGGCTACAAACCCTCAAGATCCTGTAGGCTAAGCAGTATTTGTATGGACCTGACGTAGAATCCACAGTGTTACAGGAAATTTTAATGGTAGCGATTTAGTAAGCAGCACATTTTCTTAGAAAATACCAAATACTTGGGCCATGAGACACTGCTGCTGAATTTACTTGTCTTTATTTTGTTTAGTTAGGAAATCATAGGCTTGAACATAAGAACGGCTGTACTGGGTCAGACCAAAGGTCCATCTAGCCCAGTAACCTGTCTGCCGACAGTGGCCAGCATCAGGTGTTCCAGAAAGGGTGGACCAAAGACAATGATCAAGCGATTTGTCTCCTGCCATCCCTCTCCAGCCTCTGACAAACAGAGGCC